ATCAAAATTACTTAATATTATTAATTAATCTTACTGATTAATAATTACAATAATGGCAAGGCCTAGTTGAGACTTACATAGAATGAACTAAAGTGCTATAATTTAAGCTTTATTTTTTTCTCTTCAATTTAATCCATTCATTCATTAGCTATAAATCGTTAGGCCACATTATTCTTTTTTTGATTGAAAATTATCACAAAAAATCCATTAATTCATTAATTAATTAACTTCGATAATTTTACTATATATTACTATATTTACAAAAAGAAGTGAGCTTACCAAATTGCTTACTGATTTCAAGTTGCATGTCTAAATATTTGATTGCTTGTTGATAATTTTTTTGTTGATAATATGCAAATGAAATAGCACCGAGCACTGACAGTCTTGAGCTCAATGATGCTACATTAGCTTCATTCATATCTAGTGCTAATTGAAGCAATGTAATTGCTTCAGTTATATAACCAGTGATCAAATATTCTTGACCAATTATGCTAATAATTAAGAATGCATTCAATTTCACTCCATTTATATCAGTTCCAATTTTGTTGAGTAATATTGATAAATGATCTGCAAAAAATAAAAAAAAAGTGAAAAGATTGGTTAATTGAAAATGAAAGAAAATGAAAAAAATATGGTATCTTATAAATTTGATATCGATAATAATTTCATTATTTTATTGGTTCAATTTGAAATATTCTAAATCAAGTTTGAAATATAATTAATTCGTTACATTCAGATTTATCCATTAACACGTATTATATTATTTACTATATTATTTGCATTTGTATTATCTGATATTATATTATTATTTGACATTATATTATTTGATATCATTTCATATTATATTATTTGTATTTGCATAAAGGTTAAATAAATATTAAAAAAGAAAATAATTGAAAAAGTTAAGGAGGAGAAGAAAATTGCGTACTTTTGATTGAGCTATAACATAATCCATCTTTTAATGTATCAATTGTTTCAATTTCATTTTCAATTGCCAAACTTTGGCAGTATGCAAAAATTGCTTTATCAAATTCTCCAATACCACGTAGAGCATTACCCTTCCGCAAATAACCCTAAATAAAGCGAACTAAAACAATTTTAAAAGATCATGCATTAAATGAGAAATAAGTACAGGTGCAATATTATATTAATACACTGATAAAATTTGATAAAATTTCCCACAATTATAACTATCTTCGCAAAATTTCACTTAAAATTTTTAAAAAATTCAAATTGAAGAATTGCAATTAAAAAAAAGCTAATGTAATGCAACAAATTCGTGCAATATAAATTTCTCTCAAAACAGTTAATTGCTTAACTGTTAATGAAACGTTGCTTGTATATTATTTTTAGTGAAATTATTGTTAAAATTTTCTAATGGAAGAAAAAAAAGAAAAAATAATAGCGAAAGTTAAAAAAAATGGAAAAATTATAATAAAACTATCAAAAAAAAGGTAATTATAGCTAACCTTTGCCCATTTAGGATTTAATGCTAACGCTTGCTGAGCATCAGCCAATGACTGGTGGAAATATCTAAGGCGGAAAAAAATAGCGGAACGATTGGAATATAGAATGAAATTAGTGGGATGTAATTGAATTGCTTCATTATAAAGTGTTAAAGCTTTTTCAAAATTTCCATCATAAAATGCTCGATTTGCGACATCAGATAAAGTTAACAGTTTATCACGTGACATCTTATGATAACATAATCATATCGAAAATATCTGACTTTTCATATTTTTCCTTTTTTTCTATGAATAATATTTCAGGCTGAAAAAAGAAGCGAGCAAATATATAAATAATTAATTTAGAGCAAACATTTAATTATCATAGTAAATTGTTGCAAAAATATAAAAATGTTGGATATCTTACAAAAACAAATAAATAAATGATTTAAACAAAACATTTGTAATTATCATGATTAACAAAATTGCAAGAACACAAAAACGTTGAATGCCATAGAAATCAAGAAGTTAAATAAATTCAAATAATTGGATGGGATGATGATATGCTCTAAAATATGATAAATATATTTGATGCAAAGTTTTCAACTAATACTTTAATAATTTTAATTATGAAATTAATTATCAATTTGTTGCATTTACGCTTAATTCATTTAAATAAAATGATTTCTTTTTTGCTTATAAATACATCCAATATATTTTGTAAATTTGATATTTGAAGAGATTTGAGAAGAGTTCAAAAAAGAATAGCTGAATTGCTAGCTTAGTTATGATAATTGAAATTTTTTTTTAAAAAATTCAGTTCATAATTTTCATAAAATTGAAGTTACTAATATTAAAGGAATGAATAAAATTGAGCAGTCCTCTGAACGAAATGATGGCATGGAATGAGTAGGAATTGGGTTGTAAAATGTGACAGTTATGAGGGTACTGAGATTTTGGCATCGTTGTCCTTGACAAAATTGCACCATCTAATCCTAATTTTAACAATTATTTCCTCGTCTCCCTCCTAATTTTCATCTTTTCCACTCTCTTTCTTTCATTTCTTCTTTTTCTTTTTTGAATATTTTTAATCAATTAATAAAATATATAATGCAGTTCATTTTCTTTCCCATTTCTTTCATTATCTGAAAGATAAAAGTTAATTAATTACAAATATTATTTTTAAGTTACAGTGTAAATTTGTTAATTAATGATATGTGTAGCTATAAATATAAAAAGGAATACATTAGATAATTATGTATTCTTAGATATATTCAATATACATTTCCCACTCATTTTAATTAATTAAAGTGATTTTTCTTAAATAAAAAAGTGCATATAACTTATTATTAAAATCTTTTTTTTTTAAATGAACGATTAATATTTTTTAAATACTTGTTAGTAATGCTATTATTCATCCATATGGCGCTTCTAACAAAAACTTTATTAACGTTTGCTATACAGATTTTTTTTAATATAATTTTAAGAACTTAAAAAGACTTCTTTCTTTCTCTTTTTCTATCTCTGTAATATTATTTTTAATTTTGCTAATTGCGGCATATTGCACTTAATTTTAAGATAATTACAAAATCAGATTTCTTTTTATTATATATTTTATTTCAACATTTATTTATGACAAATATTGCAACAAAAAAAACGTAAAAGAATTGCGTTCCATGTAACGTAAATTATTTTTGTGGTATTGAAATTCTATTTCGATGAAATATAAATCATAATATTATGTAATTAATTATTATACTTCAAAAAAAAAGAATAGAAAGGAGTGATTTACCAAAAGATGATATAATAATTGGAACAATGTTATTTTTAGATATTGAAAAGGAAAAAATTAGAAAAATATGCGGAAAAACATGAATAATTGTTAAAAGTATACCAGAATAAGAAATGAATAATAATTTAAATAATAATTCCCAAATAACAATTAAAAATAAAATTCGCTGTCTGTTATTATGTTAATTGAACCAAAATCAATTACAAATTGAAGAGGAAATTAGTTTAAAGCATCTTTTATATCTGAAATATGAAAAAGTGAAAATATGATTAGTAATTATCTGTTTTACAGTTTCTTGTAGTTTTATCATAAATTAAAAGTAATTTGAATAATCTGCGTAGTAAATATTTTTCAAATGCAATTTTTTTTTTACTTTATATTATTGGTTTCTTTTAAGATTGTTATAATTGAAACAGCAAAGGATAGTTTAAAATAATAAACAAAATAATCAAAGGCAGAAAGATTAGATGAATGTTGACTTTTTTTCTTTATTCCTCCACACTATTTTATTCCTTCTTCTCCGTAATACACGTTGCTATTTATATTCTCAACGCATCAAATACATTTCTTCGTTTTCTAAACAATAACTTGTCGAGAATAAGATATTGAAGCGGAAAGAATATATATGGCCTGCGTGGATAAAAGGAAGCGGAGATCATAACCGGGGTAATGGAAGCGGAGATGATACTTACTTACATTTGCATAGATCATAACCGAGATAACAGACGCAGAAGTGACAGTTACATTTGCAATGATTAAAATCAATCCATATGATCAAATGATCTATTCATACTAATATGTTAATTTTTCAAACTAACTGGTCACAAATAATAATTCAAAATTTTGCTTATTCGATCAAAGATAGGAGAAAGACGACGGATAAGAAATATGCAAAATCTATTGAAGAGAGACTATTATTGATGAATTGATGTTGTTGACAATTTTCAGCGTATGCATTTTGATTTGATGACTTCTCTGGTCATTTGTGACCATGACGGATGTCGTCGTTGATTAGAGCAGACAATTCATTTCCATTCACTATGTTCATTTATCAATCTTTTGATATTATTTCTCAAATATAGTTCATATTTCATCCGGCAACAACAATACTGCCAATTAGCAATGACGATATTGGTAATAATTATTATTATGATAATAATATTGTTAATGATGGTCGAAATTTATGATAATTTTGGCGTACTGCAAATTTTTACATAATCTAATAATTTCCAAATAAAATATTTTCCAACATTTCAGCTTCAACTTCACAATTTGATTGATAATATAATCTCATGTGTGCAAATATATTTATTCATTATCAACTTTCGTCGAAAATTTCCTATTTAAATTAAAACACTTTTTTTTTTTGTCCTTGAAAAAGAATTACTTCCATACAACTGCACAGTCCTTTTTTCCTTTTCGGGATGGAATTTTGTAAATCAATCATTCGAAGAGGAAAAAAAATTTTATTTTGTCAAAGAGCTGAAATAATTTCAAAGAAATATTTTATAGTCTTGTAAAATTAGAAGTAATTTATTAATAAAGAAAAAAAATTTTTCCCTTAAGAAATTTTGCCCGTATATATAAAGAAGTTATAATTAACAGCATTTTCTTCCTCTTTATCCATCCTTTTTATTTTTATTAAAAAATATGCTCAAACTTAAGCTGACTATAAATTCTATTTTTCAATTTCCAATTTTTATTAAAACTTATTAGTAATTTTTAAAATCATAATTAATTACAAACTAAATGAAGAAAAGATTTGGCTAATTTTTACATTGAAACAATTATTAATTCATTTCCGTTTAACATCTTAATTTAATAATAATATCAAACAAAATTAATTTTTATTTTTTGAAAAAAGTTAATTAAAATCATAATAAAAAAAAGCTTTTAAAAGACAGTTGGAAAAATTTTGTGTTTATCCTCTTTAACATAACTGAAATTTTCTATTACTTAAATAATTTATGCATTTTTTTGCACTGATAATATCTTTGTGATTCTTTTTCAGCCACTCCTCAATCGCTGTAAAATAATGAGTTTGAAATTGGCAAGTTGATTTGTCGTTCTATTATTCAATAAAATTTGCATAGTTGAAAATTACAAAAATTTTTTTTTTGATATTGTAAGAAAATAACCTATTAATGTTGTAATTGATATATTAATTTAATATTAAATCAATGCTAAAATTTTGAAACTTTTTTTTTAAAAAAAAAATTCTAATAAAATATGATGCTGATGCTTCTGTTAACATCTGCCATTTTCACTAAAGATATGCAATCATTCCATCATTCCTTTCATTATAACATAATACTTCCTTCAAATCATTGACAACATTTCTGACTTATCCGAATAAAAACAACAAAATAAAAACTATTGATCGAAAATGATAACACTTCCTATCATCCCAAATGTTTGACGATGTATTTGTCAAATTTCATCCTCATGTCGGCAGCATTATCATTATCATACCTCTGATGAATGCAATGTGACAAAAAATTAAGTAAAGTTTGCATAGGTTTTTTTACAAATTTAAAATTTGCATAGCTTTTTTAGAAATGTTCGAATGATATCGTGTAAAATTTTCAAATTTACTATCTTAGAAACTTTTATTTAATGTTTTTTTTTTCAACTTCTTTTTCAACAAAGTTCATTTTTTTAATTCTAAAACGGAACTGGAAATGAAATGATTAAGAATTTCCTAATAGACATACTTTTCTATAAATTTTCATTTCAGAGAGGTTATTCGCGTAAAATTTTTGAATTTATTTCCTTGAAAATTTTCATTTAGCAAAATTCATTGATTGAACTATCGTAAAATGGGAGTGGAAACGGTTATTACTGATTTAATGATTTTAGAAATTATTTCTAGAGGATATCTGTTCATAATTCTTGATTTGTTCGCCCATATTTGAATTGCTATCGAGTATGTTTATAATCAAATGTTAAATTTCATAATAAAAATCATCATTTAATTTTGAAAATTAAAAAGAAAAAGAATGGTGACAAAATCTGCGCTGTTTGACAAAAATGAAAATTATGTTCATTTGAATGATCTCAAGAGAGAAAAAAATTGTGAATTTTTTTTTTAAATTTAAAACCGTCAAGAAATATTTGCTTTACTCAATTCACTTATATTTTCCAAATTGTAGTTAATTTTACATAATAATTTCATAATAATATTTAGTTTATTTTACTTTTGTTCTCCTTTCTTTTTCTTTTTTTTGTAAATTTCATTGTGGGACATTTTTGTAATCATTAAAGATAGCAAAATTTGTTCTACAATTAATAAATTTCTTCAAATTTTATAATAATAATTCAAAAAAAATAGATATATTCGATATTAAATGAAATTAAATAAGATATTAATACTTAGTATAAAAATGATATATCTGTTGATATATTTCATGCTTTCTTATGATTAATTGAGAAAAAAAACAGCACACATCTTTATAGA